GGTGATGGAGTCCCACGTGGCGCGTGAGCTTATATTTGGTGGTAGTCATCAACGAGGATATTTTGAGTGAACATGTCATCTAGTATTTGAACAAGTTTAAACTATTTGTCTTTTGTAGTTGCATGTTTATTGATGCTTGTATGTGTTATCTGAATTTATATTTGCTTCCGCATTCCAGAACTATGTTTCAGAATTTCAGAATCGTATTTCAGTATTCCAGTATTTCAATATTTCAAAATTTCAGACTGCATGTGTAATTCCAGTAAATTATCATGGCCTTAATTCTAGAATAAACTTTACTTGGACGCATGCATAGTAGATTAAAGAGAATAGGTTAAAGTTGAGTAGCATTCCGCATATTAAATTTAAAGTATTGTCGAAAAAATAATAAGAGTTTTCAAAAATTTAATTAGTGTTTTCCTATAATAGCGCGGAAAATGTACTCTGATTTTAGTAAGTCTAGGCGGGGTGTTACACTAATTACCCTGGATTTCTAAATCTATATGCGATTCGCAGCTTACCTATATGAACAGGTTATTTATATTTTGTGAAAATTATTCTATCAGTATACTGAACAAAAGGTTCATATAATTTACAAAAGTTATTTCCCAATAAAATCCATACCAGATTCTTGTTGATAAATAGTTGGAATATGAAATTTCTCATGCTATCAAAATGTTCAAGTTTTTACAGACTTTGTTTATTAAAATTGTGCTTCCATCAACAATTTTTACTTGTAATGATTTTTAAGCATTTTCAATGCTCTTCAGAAAATATGTTTTGAAGATATACAAAGGCTAGCACCTGCATCAACAAAGCAATTTATTTTCATTTGTTTATATCCTGTGAATTTCAATTTACCTATAATGTAGATTGGATTTGGGTTGGTAATACTGATGAGTTTATCCTCACTCTGTATCATTGTATTCTGAAGTGAATGTTCCTGAAGATGATTTATCTTCTATTCTTTTTTAATGTATATACTTCTTCTATGGCTAAATAGTCTTCGTCAGTTGGTTCAAGACCAAATGATTCAGCTATTTGAAGAATTTTTACTTTCTAAGATTTTTTTTCTATTAGGACATTCATTTGTATAATGACATTTGATGTGACAGATCCAACATCTACAATTCTTTTTTCCTTAAAGTAAAAATTTTTCTTAGGTTGAAACTTTTGTTTCTTCTTGAAATATTTACCAATTTAAAAGTTTTTTTTTTTTGGTATTTATATTTTTTAAGATATATTTTTTTAGATTTTTCTTTGTATGGTTTACAACCATATTCTTCAAGTTTTTCAAAAAAAATTTAACAAAAATTCCTATTGAATTTTTTCATTTGTTTTTGCTATTTAGAAGCGCTACAAATTTTTTTATATTCTTCTTTTACGAGTCTTTTGGCATTGCCAAAACTAAACTTCATAAGGTTTTTAGCTATTCTATATTTATTTGAAGCATCTTTTCCCACAATGGGAATTGTTGCTAAATGCATCTTAGGCTATGTTTGGTAGATCAATAAGCTAGTTTATAGTTTATTTGACTAGTTTATAAACTCCATGTATTTAAATAAGCTTGTTTGGTAGGACGAGCTTATTTGATAAGCTTCTTTTGGTAGCTTTTCAAATAAGCTCGTTGAAATTTTTATTTCAGCTAGCTTATCAGCTAATTTTACCAAACACTTGTATCATATAAGCTAGCTTTTCATCTATAAGTCATAAGCTATAAGCTATAGGCTATGTTTGTTAGACCAATAAGCTAGCTTATAGCTTATTTGATTAGCTTATAAGCTCCCTTTATTTAATTAAGCTCTGTTTGATAGGACGAGGTTATTTAAAAAGCTCAAGCTTATTTGATACGCTTCTTTAGGTAGCTTTTCAAATAAGCTAGTTGATTTTTTTATTCCAGCTAGCTTATCAGCTAATTTACCAAACACTTTTATCATATAAGCTAGCTTTTCAGCTATAAGTCATAAGCTATAAGCTATAAACTCGAAAATTATTGATAAGCTATAAGCTAGCTTATCAGCTATCAGCTAGCTTATCAGCTAGTTTTACCAAACATAGCCATAAGCTCGAAAATTACTAATAAGTTATAAGCTATCTTATTAGCTATCAGCTAACTTATCAGCTAGTTTTACCAATCATAGTCTTAATGTACTCAGGATGTTCGCGAAAATATAATTTGAAACATGTTCTTTTCAAAATCACAATTGAATTCATTGATATTAGCAAATATACAAAGGGTCAGATTGTTTAATATTGTCTTTGTTTAGATTGCTCTGAGTTTTTTGAATTCTGCATTTAAACTATTCAAAATGCTTTTAAGCATTGATGCAGGGTTTATATTTTGAATATCCCATTGAACATTTTTTTAATAATTTTTTGTGCATTTCCAAGCATTCGATGCTTAGCAAGTGCCAACACAAGTTGTATTGTGTAAAAGTAGTAGGATTGAGATTAATCACAAGACTCATTTCTAGTCCTCATTTATCAACTAATTTCTTAACTGTTTCTGGAGTCTTACAGTCTATATCTAAGATTGAGATTGTATGAACTTCTCCAGCAATACCTGGGATACTGGTATTGTTGTTAGATGATCTAGGCGCTTTAGGAGTTACTGAAGGTTTTCTTTAAAACTCAGCATCCATTCCTCGATCATTTTTCGTTCCAGATGATTCTGGTTTTTCCATTCTAAAAGTTTCTTTTAGAACATCTTCTTCGTTGTTAAATTAGTTTATTTCTGAATCAGATTGAGTGTCAGTTTCATTTTCTTAAAATTGATAAAATTGTTCGTTTTTGCAAGTTTCAATAATTTTCTCATTTCATAATATGATTCTAGATCTGAGTTGCACTTTTCTATATCCAGTTCTAGAAATCGGATTATATGCACAAGTCTTTCAGCTTGTTCATCATGTAGATCTAAATTAATTAGATTCCAGAATTTTTTTCAAGCTTTTCTTGAAAATTTATTTTTTCAGGGCATCTTTGGCCATTTGAAGGCATTATGATTTCCTGAATTTCCTAGTTCTTCATTTCCTACAGAATATTAGGACATGCGTATTTAAGATATATATATTTTCTTGATTAGAAGTTATCTCCTGTTTTTTCAAGAATTTCTTTTTTGCAAGGACATTTAGCAATTTCTTGCTTAATATCATTAATTATTTTAGTCGCTATTGGTTCTAAATCTTGTTTATAATCTTTAGACTGTTGTTGCCAGATTTGTATAAATCATCATCTTTTTTTAAGGATTTTTATATCTCGTCTGACACCCGTCATTGTATAATTCATTTTTATACCTCTTTTTCCTTCTTTTTTTTTTCTTTTTTCTTTTAATACATATTTTGCTCACACCAAAATTGGGAGTGCTAATAGACTTAAAAGGGAAAAATTGCACTATTCGTCCACTAACTATACCCTCGTTGCACTTTCGTCCTTTAATTGTTTCTGATTTACAATTGGTACACTAACTTTTTTTTTTGGTAATTTTAGTCCAAAATGATATTCCGGTGCTTATTTTCGCCGGAATAGCTGATGTGGCGCCCAGTCAGATCGGAATTATATTCTCGGCGTGATGTGGCACGAGGTGGTGCCTAGTCAGATCGGAAAAATTGCACTATTGGTCCACTAACTTTACATAAGTTGCACTTTCGTCCTTTAATTGTTTATGATTTACAGAATCAGAAGAAAAAAATATTAAGAAAAAAAAGCTTTGAAAAGAAAATGAAAAGACATGTGGATAAAAAAAATTAACAAAAAAAAGAATATTAATTAATAAAAAAATCATTTTGTCTAATGATTTTAAACAAAATAAAAAAATATCTTTTTTAAAAAAATAAAAATACATTTTTTTATTTAATTAAAAACAAAATAATTAATAAAAACCGAAATGGAAAACAAAATAAATGTTTATTTGAGAAATAAATATTTTTTATTTAATGGTTATATATTTAATAAAAAAGAAATATTTATCATTTTTTTGTTTAATGAAAAAATATTTTTTATTTAAATAAAATATATTTAATAAAAAAAGAAATATAAAACGAAATAAATATTTAATAAATATTTTTTATTTAATGGTTAAATATTTAATGAAAAATTAAATATTTAATAAAAAAATATTTAAAAAATATTTTTTATTAAATAAAACAATATATTTTTTCTTTTTCTTTTGATTTTTCCTTTTTCTTTTTAAAGCTTTTTATTTTTCTTTTGATTTTTTTAATATTCTTTTCTGATTTTGTAAACCGGAAACAATTAAAGGACGAAAGTGCAACGAATGTAAAGTTAGTGGACGGATAGTGCAATTTTTCTGATCTGACTAGACGTCACCTCGTGCCACATCACGCCGACAATGGAATTTCCGATCTGACTGGGCGCCACATCAGCTATTCCGACAAAAATGAGCACCGGAATGTCATTTTGGACTAAAATTATCAAAAAAAAAAGTTAGTGTATCATTTATAAACCGAAAATAATTAAAGGACGAAAGTGCAACGAGGGTATAGATAGTGGACGAATAGTGCAATTTTTCCGACTTAAAAGTAACATTTGTATCTCAATGACATAGCAAAGGTAGTGCCCTCAAGGAGAGGGATAAATTCGATGCTATATGTGGGACAGTGCCTCCACATGCTTTTTCACCCTTGATCTTACACACACCCAGTGGGTGTATGTGATTGTGTGCAAATCACAGATGAAAAAGCATGTCGGGCACTGCCCCACATGTAGCATCGAATCTACCAAGGGGAAGATCCAATTTTTCAAAACCGACTGTTTTGGATTCAATTTTCGATCAAAAAGTGTACTGATTTTGATTTTTAGCATGTCTACCTAAGGAAATTCGAGACAGTTTCATCATCATTACTCACCACTTTCAATTCCATCTCAAAATGACAGAAACTAATTAAACAGGTAACTCAATATCTTACATTCATATAGTAGAGCTCATTACATAGGCCCGGACTTATTATATTTCCTGACAGAATGACAAGTAATAACAGTCTCTAGCTATAGTAGAGTTCATTGGACAAGCGTGGTGTTATAATCACTTCCAATGGCGTCGCTTTCGGCAAGGTAATCCCCATCCCCTCACTCATATCCACCGGCTTGTCTAATCCGGTTTTGATCTCAAACCCCTGTATCAAACGAGCCAGCACCAAGTGGGCCACCTGCATGGCAAATGTGGTACCCGGGCACGACCTCCTTCCCGACCCGAATGGTATGAACTCGTAGAATTGGCCATTGAAGTCAACCCCGCTGGCGTGGCCCTCCAAAAAGCGCTCGGGAAGAAAGTCTTCAGGCCGGGCCCAGATTCGCGGATCCCGATGCAGCTTCCACAAGTTGACTATGATCATTGTGCCCTTTGGTATAGTGTATTCCATCACGCGGCAATCTTGGGCGGCCTCGTGTGGAACGGATATTGGACCCGGTGGGTAGAGTCGTAGGGATTCTTTGATTACGGCTTGGAGGTAGGGTAGGTTGTGAATGTCCGACTCTTGGGCCCACCGGTGTTTGCCGATGTTCGTGTCGATCTCGTGTTGAGCCCGTTGCATGACGTTGGGGTGGTTTAGTAGTAGGGACAGAGTCCATGTTAGGTGGATTGATGTGGTGTCCGAGCCTGCTAAGATTAGGTTCTTCGAGGAAAAAATGTGTGTGGAATTAGATCAAAGGCTTCACAGATGAATGTTTTCTCTTTTTATATGTTTGTGCATAACAGCAGTTTCAAAAATTGGGCTGCCTACGTTGCCGTGCAGGCACCATTCCGTTAATTTAATCTCAACCATTACATCTTATAAATTATTGATCGGGGCCTTTAGATGTTTGGTTTGATGTGGCAAGTGTTTATTGGTTCCGCTAAAATGCACAAGGGGACTTAAGATTTTTCAAAAACATACCTGTATAGTTGCCTTAATAATGGTTTCCTTTGCATGCCCAAAACTTAAGAGCCTATCATCAATCTCAGAAAGCATCACATCAATGAAATCGGGCTCGTCATCGCCCTTTCCGCCCCTCTCCAAATGCTCGTCGACCCACCTTCCCGTGATAACATCCAAGTCCTCCGAAATCCTCCTCATGGCCTTGATGTGGCCGCCGAAATCGACCCACCTCAGGGGCAAAAACGGAATTGCATCCGACAACACAAACAGACCAGACAGGTACATAAACTCCTTGATCACCTCTCTAAACGGCCGCGCACTCTCCACGCTCTCCGTGTACCGTCTCCCGGTTATCATCTTCACGATCACGTCAAGACTCAGTTCCTCGAACCACTTGCTAATATTGACGATATTGCCCCCAGCGTGCAGTTCCTTGAAGCTCGACCGGATTTCGGCCTCCCGGGCGTTTTTCAGCTTCTCGAGCCTCCGTGGGGAGAGGAGG